CACACACACACACACACACACACACACACGCACACACATATCCATCCACCCACCATCCATTTCCTCCCTCCCTCCATTTTGCACATTTAAATAAGCTTGATGAAGTCCTCGGTCTCTCGCACCTTTCTTCCCTCCTTTCCCTTGCTTGCTCCTTGATCCTCTCTATCCTCCTGCTTGTTTGCAGTCATTTCCAGAGGAAGCAGTTATTCAGAAGCCTCGATTGATTGATTGCCTGGAGCTAATCTCCAGCTGTAACCAATTAGGGAGGCTTATCTCTGATCTAGAAGGAAGGAAGTAACAGGGAGAGGTGGCTTACAATTTGAAGCTTTGGCTGCAGAGGGAGGGAGGGAGGGAGGGGGTAGCACTCTGCTCATTACCCCCAGGATTTTCACTTTTACCCCATTTGGGGTAATTTACCCCTGTTCCCTGACCTATGATCTAGGAGTACCAGCAAGCTGGAAAACAAAGTTTTCAGGTGGAGTGGAACACCATCTAGCACACATTGACTCCCAATTGCTTGACCTGCCTTTCAGCTGATCTTGGGCACCTCTGTTATGTATGGCCTGAGCTTCCAATTTTTGCTTTAATCTCAACCATTGCTGATTCCAGATGGTGGTTTAGAACTAAAACAACTTTGCAGAATCATAGACTCGTAGGATAATTGAATTGGAAGGGGCCTATAAGGCCACTGAGTCCAACCTCTGGCTCAGTGTGTTCAGCCCAGTGCTCAAACCTACTGAAATCTTTTTGAATTTTGTTCCTGTCTTCAAAGGTAATTGCTATTCCACTCAATTTTGTGTCATCTGCAAATCTGATATAATCCTCATTGAGAACTGGTCTCTTGAATAGCAGAGTTTACACCTACAGTAGATCTAGTGGATTGGAGAAGGTCACTAACTTGCTACCATTGAAAGGTCCTACATTGCAGAGCTGTTGCTTAAGTGCTTTGAAAGTAAATAAAGATAAAATAAAATAAAGGTCAAGATTGTCCATGGGGCTTATGCTACGCACTTTTGAGGCTTAGAGGACCAAGCTCAGAAATAAAGGTGGTGATTTTGCACACACAGTGACTCCCTGTCCAAACATCATACTCTCTCTTTAGGGAGAGTTGAGTGTTACAGGGCCAACCTTGGGAAGCTCAGGCATTGGTCCTGGCTGGTTTGGAAGCAGAATCAAAGACTGAGAAAGAGGATTCTCTGCACTGGAGAACTGATGTCAAGTCCAAGCAATCGTTAAACAAGTGGGTCATTAAGTGAGGAGTACTATATTGGGACTATCAAATCCCATCTGATCCTGTTTATTTGTCCCTTTGTGCTCTCATAATACATTATTTTCATTGTTCGCATAAACATGTGTCATGAAAGGAAGAGGCAGATTTCAGACTCCAGGCTGCTACACAAGAAAATATTGTGGAATAGGGAACCTGTAAAGCCTGGGTCAATCAAGGTGTAAGAAAATATGGCTTTTTTATTCTGCTAACCACCTTCTTGCCCACAGAGTGCAATCTTGTGAATTTTCAGTAGTGGTTTGATTCCTGTGTCTTTGCAGTGTGGGAGAGAAAATACTGATATGCTTGTAGTTTGTCTCCATATAGTGGAAGAGAGAACTGCCTGTCAGTGAGCAGGGAAAGAAAAAGAAAGCTTGTGTGGAGGGGGTGGGTAATGCTTGCATGTTTAAACACTGACATTCATTAACACTGATAAAGCATTGACCCAAACTTCAGTGTGGCCTCAGGCTGCAGAGAGCTGGAATACAAAATGAAAGAACAGCTACACAAGCTCTAAAAGAGCCGAGTGTGGGAGCCAGGGAAATGTGTATGCTGCTCACATGGCAAGTTAAAGTAAATGACCTAACATTCACTTGTAAGCCAATTCTGCAATTGGTTTAATACGTCTTTTACAACAAGCCTATATGTACATGATGCAGTAGCATAGAATCATCAAAGAGTTGGAAGGGACCATTGAGTCCAATCCCTGTTCAATGCAGGAATCCAGATCAAAGCAGCTGGTACCCATTATAGTTGGTGGGAAAAAGGCCACAGCAGCTAGCAGTGAGCAGGGTTGGGGTGATAGGCAGAGAAGCGGGGCAAATATGGGAACTCATTTCATACTTCCAGGCATACAGCCACAGTGAAACAAATACAGACTTATTCACACATGCAGAGGCAGACAGGCAGACATTTACTCAGGTACTTTTATCCCACTCCATGTGTGTAGGCCACGAGTGAGTCACAAAAGACTGAAGAGTAGGTCCTGAAAGACAATGTCCATAGGCAAAAAGTTCCTTTTTCAAGAGTAAGGATGCCTTGTTAGCAGACACTAACATGAGTCATGGTTTTTGGGATAAAGCTATTCTTACAGCACATTATATTATGAACAGAATTTGGTCATCAGCGATAGAACAAACCCCATATTTTACGCTGTATGGGAGAGAGCCATCCTTACAGCACATGAGGTTATTTGGTTGCAGTGCATGGGTACATGTCCCAAAAGAGACTAGGAGAAAGGGCAAACCTAAAACGAGATTCTTGGGATATGAAAGAGGCTCAAAACCATATTGTTTCCTAGATGGAAACAGGGGTGTTTTAATCTCAAGGTCTGCAAGTTTCTGTGAACACGAG